AATAAAAGCTTGGCACATCAATGTGCTTTCAAAAATGTATATATTTGAGTCCGAGTGGGAGCATCTCTGAAATCGAGTCCAAGTGGGAGCATTTTCCATTTTTATAAAAAAAAATTTTAAAAAATGACTTTTGAATAGACATATTTGAAACTAATCTAGAAAAATGTGTAAACATGACTCGGTTTATATTCCGGTACGTTAAAATTAATTTTATAATTCTATAAAAAAAATTTACAATTATCTCAAGTACTATAGCCATTCTTTGGTGCGCTACATATGATGTTTTAATACTCTTACGTTTTCTTATAATAAAACTGTATTTTACCTTCGAATCGACGAAAAAATGGTCCAAGCGGGAGCATTCAGCAGGTGCGCGATGACGTAGTATCCTACCATTGACAAAGACAACATTGTTTTATACAGAAGTTTACATATCTTGTTTTCCTTAGCATTAATGATTTTACTCCAGAAACACAAAACTCTTGCTTTCACTTGTAAGACTAATGAAAATATGCCTAATTCACCATAAACCATACAATTAGGTGTAGAAGGTTTTAAATTCAAAATAAACTTAATACAATTGAATTTCTCTAAAATTTGAACTTGTTCGAATCTCCAAACTTCACTTCCATGAAGAAGAATACGTTCAACCTTAAATTTAATTAATGTAGTTGCAAAGAAATTAGTAGATATAATTTACGGGACTTTTGGATCACAGAAAACATTGCTCTTTTAGCATTATCAACAAGATTTTTTTAATTCAAAATTTACCATTATAATTAAGAAGTACTCCAAGGTAAGTAAAGTCATCTACTAAATCAAGCTTTTTACCATCGTACATAAATTCAAAATTATCCATAGGTTTTGACTTATTAAAAACCACTATTTTAGTCTTATCTTCATTTACTACAGGATTCCATATACAAATGTATTACTGTATATGTAATCATTCATTGCAATTAAGCCATTTTGCAAATCAGTTTTGCTTTCTGCTAAAAGTACTGTATCATCAGCTGACAGTATATAACAAAAGAAACAATTTAAAAAAAACATCAATGACATTAAGATTTAAGATTTATTCAATACTGTCATATTTGCATCTTTGACGTAGTTTAAAATCTTATCGTTGTATTATATACGTTAGGTTAATAGATATCGACGTTAGACGGGGTCCCAAATATATGAGCCGCGCCATGACAAAACCAACATAATGGGTTTGCGACCAGCATGGATCCAGACCAGCCCGCGCATCAGCGTAGTGTGATCAGGATCCATGCTGTTCGCTTACAAACCCTATAGCAAGTAGAGAAACTGATAGCGAACAGCATGGATCCTGATCAGACTGCGCGGATGCGCAGGCTGGTCTGGATCCATGCTGGTCGCAAACGCACTATGTTGGTTTTGTCGTGACACGGCTCATATATTGAATGTATTGCATACTGAGGAAATAACTCTGGAACCATTCAAAATTCCAGTCGCCAAGTTCAACAAAACTGTCATAAAATAATTCCAAAAAATACCGACCGATTTAAGAGGTTTTACAAATGAAGGTATGTTAACATTCCTGTTTTTAATAGTGTTTTTATAAAGGCTAAGGATATACATAGTTAAAGTACATTTATGCGTTGTGCAGAACGTTAAAAAATTATTTATTCATTATGGACACAATAACACGGAACATCAATATTTTATGAAAAGTGACTTTACAACTAAACAATTGAGGTCTAGTGAGGAAGAAAGAGATTTAGGTATATTATATGATAAGGATTTGAAATTTCGACATCACATAAGTAATTGTATCAATAAAGCAAATAAAATAACTGGATTGGTCAGAAATACCTTCTTACATGTTAATATCAAGCAATTTCGGAAACTTTATAAAACTCTTATAAGACCACACCTTGAATATGGAAATATTATTTGGAGTCCAAGATTTAAAAAAGATATTGAAGCAATCGAAAGAGTTCAAAAAAGAGCAACAAAAATGGTTAAATGTATTAGAAATTTATCGTATGTAGAAAGATTAAAAATTCTGGAAATTCCTACTTTGGCTTACAGAAGATTTAGAGGTGATATCATACAAGCATGGAAATTATTAAATGGGAAGGAAGATATAGATTATAATGTATTTTTTGAAAAAGCACAACTTGAAAATCATCACATCAGAGGAAATTCAATGAAGTTGAAAATAAAATCATGTAAAAAGGAATTAAGAAAACATTTTTTCTCATTAAGAGTAATACCAGAGTGGAATAAATTACCAGATTCTGTAGTATGTTCACCAACGCTGAATTCGCTAAAAAACAGACTCGATAAGGTTATGAAAAACAAATTATATACTGTTATACCGGATAATAATCATTGGGTGTCAGACCTGGAGGGGGTTATAAGAGATTTCTGATCTCGCGACCCTACGCTGGATAAAGTAAAGTAAAGTAAAGTATTTGCCGAAGGCAACACAACTCACTTCATCAACATGATCCATGGATCAAGCTTCTGTCATAGCATAGTTTTCGTAGTTTTAACTGTCATCATAATTATTATGACTATTGATATTGTCACAATTGTTCTCTAAACCCAAGGACAAATGTCAATTAGGAAGGGAAGTATGCAAGAATTTTGATCAATTTAATGCTATATTTTTTTTGGTAACTTTTTAGCATTATAGACTAATGTAGAATCTATTAAAATGCTATATTTATTCATTTAACTTTTTACTTTATTTAAGCGTGTTTTCTGTATAAGTGGTGGACGAGGTGGTGGCGGGGTACAATATGCATGGCAGAAATCCCTGGGAAACTACATTGCCACTTCAAGGTATGCTTATACAAATGAATCAAAACAAAATTCTTGTGAATAACTGAAAATTTTTTAACTTTAGAAGAAGGCAGCTGTTCATCTTTACAATTTGCTTACCGGGTGCCATTTGTTGAACATACTAAGTATTGATTTTTAAATGTATGTAGTGAGTTATTAAAAATTCTACAGCATACTTCAATTAAGTTTATAGTGAATATTTGTTATTTGAAATCTTTATTAAATGTGTATACATTTTAAATAACTCTTTAAACACCTCCAGATATCTTTTCAAGAGGTAATGTTTAAAATATGACTTTGAAGTGTTCTTGAAAGTTAAGAAGTTAAATATAAGTTGCTATAACAAATTTGAAGTAATTTCAAACGAAGTTTTAAAACGTCAATATTTTCCAGCAATGACAATTTAGTAAAGATTTACGACAGACATGGAGACCTTAAACAAGAAATACAACTGCAAGGGTGAGTTACAATCATAGATACAGTCCATAATATGCTTCATTTGTGTAATGTATTTAAGCAGCTCTGAATATGGAAGAGTGCATCCAAACTTTCAAAATACCGTAAAATTCCTATTAAACGCCCCCGGGGGCTTAACATTTTCCAAATAGGGGGCTATTATTACAATACAGTTTTTCCTAAATCCAAAAATCACTGTAAATACATTTAGTGTTAGCAAGTGCTGGTAATAACATTAAAAAGTGTAACGGTTTTAAAGTTCATATTATACATATTTGTGTTTACTATAAAATACTATGGATTCTGAATGATTTGAATAAAATTATGGCTTTAATTATGAGTTCAGCACTGATAAGTACATGTAGATTGTTTTCCTTATCAAAAGGCCTGGGGGGGGGGCCTTTATTAGGGGAGGGGCGTTTATTAGGAATTTTACGGTATAAAGAATTTTAATAAGAAACTGAAAATACAAAAGTTGAGCCACCAACAGTATAGAGCCTGGTCAGATTGCACAGACATTCAGACTAGCCTGGCTCTATACTGGTGGCGAAGCTTAATCACTTTGTTCCAGTAGGTCAATGGGTAGATAATGTTTAATACATGATTATTATGAACAAATTTCTTTACATTAAGTTAAAGTATCAAGTTGCAGATGTTGAAACCAAATAATTTTTTGATGAAGTGCAGAGAAATGATGTTGCAAAATTTTTATGGCAGATTAAATACCTTACGAAATATTTGATTGAATACATGTTGAGTTTAATATAATAAAAGTTTATATATCAGAGTATTCAGGTGCTTTAGATGGTGTCATTCCATGGTCTAAATAAATGAGTTTCACACTTATGGTGGCATCTTTTCCCCAGTCCGAATAAAGTTGTAAATTCATATGCTACTATAAAAAATGTTGCTTATACATTTTGTCATAACTTAAGTTTAATTAATTCTTTTTGTATGAAAATGGAATGTAACATTCAAGAAAAGAAAAAATTATCAAGGTGTCCAGTCCTCAGGTTATTGTTAAGTAAAAGCACTTGGCAAAGCCTATTCCCTGCCTTTTACAACTACTCCTTAGCTTTAATGATATATATTGATTTGTACATACAGCCATTGTAATATTTTAATCACACTATATAATTTGTATTTATACTTTCAGACCGTGTACAGGACTTGGCTGGGATAAAGATGGTGATATCTTGGCAATTATCAATGAAAGAAATACAAACATCACCATGTGGGATGCTAACACAGGCAAAACATCCTCTATGGATAGTGGACTTAGGTTTGTCTATTATCATCATCATCACAATTATTAGTATAGTAAAGAAGATTCATTTATGTGAAATGTATCTAATTGAGAACTGAAAGCATCGAAATTTCAGGGACTATGTGAATGTAAAGCACGAGAAATGAATAAAAATCATGCATTTAATCCCATCACTGCCTGTCTCACACACAAAACAACAAGACAAATATAACTGCTTATAGAATTTAAAACAGTCTGTATGAGTTTTAAATTTTAATGGTACATTGTATTTTCATCATAAGTTTGGTTAATGGCATTTTATGATTTACAGAGATCCTTTATCATTCTTGCTTTGGGCAAAGGCTGGACCATATCTAGCTGTCGGAACTGTGAAGGGTAACCTTCTCATCTATAATCATCAAACATCCAGGTAAGATTTTTATTTAAAATGTATAGAAAGTACTTAAGATAGGTACAGGATTGTCCAGAGAAAAGCTTTATTACATTTGTCATATTTCTTAGAAAATATGAACTTATGAGATATTTTTTATTATTAATTACAATTAATCTATTTAATTTTGAAAAGAAACTGTTACGAAAAATAAAGAATCTGTGTGTGTTGGTTCTAAGCTTAAGGGTCAATTCAACTTTTCAGGCACTGGGAGTACACACCTCGGACACTGGTCATGTTTCCAATCATGTCTATAAATAGTATTTAATAGCCAAATGGTGACCTATTCAAAATACCCAGTAATACACTGAATTAAGAATCATTAGAATCTGGCAATAAATACTGGTGTACACACTACTGGTAATTTTTTTTTCATCCGGATAATTTCCAAATTGTTACCATATTGAAAAAATAAGACAATGATTGTATATTATTCTCTCATATTCTTTTCTTAGAAAAATTCCAATAATTGGCAAGCATTCAAGAAAGATCACATGTGGATCGTGGAGTAATGAGAACTTGTTAGCACTTGGCAGTGAAGATAAGACCATAACTATTAGTAATGCAGAGGGTGACACCCTACGCCAGACGTCCACCAGGGCAGAGCCTGGAGATATACAGTTCTCAGAGATGAAAGGAGACGAGCGCTCGTCTATGGGTGAAAACACTGTAAGGTTTTTGCAGTTATAAAGGGTTAAGAACTACTCATTAACATTTCACTTCAGGCAATTGATTGCTTAGTAGTTAAGTTTGCCAACTTTCAGACTGGTAACTCTCAATTTTGAGGGTTTTAATACAATATTTGAAATTGAATTTCATTGATATAAGGAATTTATCAGTGTTACTCGTGAAATGTTTGCAGTTTTTATACCCAGGAGCCACTTTCCAGTAACCAACTTCCACTGAGGAACATTTGATGGTGTCTTTATAAATAAAACTTGATTTTATAATTAATTTGTTTGCTCATTTCGAGGCATACATGATACTGTTGTATTGTTGTTGGCTCTTAGAGATGTTTGTAGCTAAACATCTCCAACTACTACGCTCCTACCTTCTAAATATCACTAAAAATAGCCAAATTTTAAATCACACGTTAGCTAAATCATACGATAATTGTTCCATTAATAATTCGTTTACACATTACATGTATCATTAATAGGTAAATACTTGTTTTTATATTTTTTTCGCTCATTTGGAGGCATACAACAGATACAACTGTATTATGTTATGCTGAAACTGTTGTATTTGGATATTTCAGGTTAGTGTGGTGATTGGAAAGAGAACATTGTTTCTATACAACATGCATGACTCAGAGAACCCTGTCGAGTTAGCGTTCCAGCAGAAATACGGCAACATTATGTCCTATAGATGGTAATTGTTGCTTGTTTATAATTAGTGTTACTTTAAAGACACATTATTATTACCTGGAAATCCATATTTTTAAATTCTTTAGAAATGTCAAAAATATTCAGTAATGTATCATAAAGGTAGCTAAATGTAAATAAAGCAGTCTTTTGACTTCCATACAAAATACTTATTCACTATAATCATACCAATTGCCATCAGAACTAAAGATAGTTAATGCATATTGCAAAAGAGTATGTTTTTAGCTCGACTATTCGATAAGAATAAGTAGAGCTATTGCAGTCACCCGAGCGTCGGCGTCCGCAACGGCGTCGGCGTAACCACTTATGTTAAAGTTTTTGTAATAGTTCAAATATTTTCAAAGTCCATTGACATATGGCTTTGAAACTTTGCACACTTGTTCACCATCATGACCCCAACCTGTAGACAGGAGGAGGTAACTCTGTCAAGCATTTTGACAGAATTATGCCCCTTTTTTGACTTAGAATTTACGTTAAAGTTTTTGTAATAGTTCAAATATTTTCAAAGTCCATTGACATATGGCTTTGAAACTTTGCACACTTGTTCACCCATCATGACCCCAACCTGTAGACAGGAGGAGGTAACTCTATCAAGCATTTTGACAGAATTATGCCCTTTTTCGACTTGAATTTACGTTAAAGTTTTTGTAATAGTTCAAATATTTTCAAAGTCCATTGACATATGGCTTTGAAACTTTGCACACTTGTTCACCATCATGACCCCAACCTGTAGACAGGAGGAGGTAACTCTATCAAGCATTTTGACAGAATTATGCCCCTTTTTCGACTTAGAATTTACGTTAAAGTTTTTGTTAATAGTTCAAATTTTTCAAAGTCCATAGACATATGGCTTTGAAACTTTGCACACTTGTTCACCATCATGACCCAACCTGTAGACAGGAGGAGGTAACTCTATTAAGCATTTTGACAGAATTATGCCCCTTTTTCGACTTAGAATTTATGTTAAAGTTTTTGTAATAGTTCAAATATTTTCAAAGTCCATTGATATATGGCTTTGAAACTTTGCACACTTGTTCACCATCATGACCCCAACCTGTAAACAGGAGGAGGTAACTGTATCAGGCATTTTTTTTACTATCAAGCACGAAGAATAGTCTAGCGTTGCTGTCCTACCGACAGCTCTTGTTGAAAATTGTGACAAGATACCAAAACTAAACAGTTTTTGAGAAATGATACCATAATTCCATTTCTGAGGCATAATGGACCTTTAGATGTATGTGACTTAGCTCAGTTGTGATGGAAACTTTATCAGCTCACTTGTAATTATTTTCATTACTTAATTTCCTCACCAAAACAGTGTATGCGTCATATCAAGAAACCATATATGTATAACAAGGACACAAACAGATAGCCTCCAAGGCCTTTTGATTAAGATATTTAGCTGACTTGGAATCACTTGCCCCACACTGCTTTTTCATTGCAGGTATGGAGATGGGTATATTATGATTGGATTTTCCCACGGATTCTTTGTAGTCATCTCCACTCACATGAAGGAAATTGGTCAGGTAAACAAAAATAATTGATAAAAATAATAAATGCTTAAAAAAAAATTAGTATCTTGTATAAAAAGAAATCTTGTAAACATTACATGCATGTTGTTTGCTTTCCAGCTTAGGGCCTGTTTGGCAACTCTTTTGTTAGTTATTGGTAACACTTTTTCTAATAAGTATTGTGTTCGTAGGCCAGACTTGATAAAGAATGTGATGAGTGGTTCAGATTGGCTACTGAGTCGACTAGACTTGAGTTTGTTGGACATGGTAGTAAGTATGCTGGACAGCAGTTAAGTGTGCTGGACTGCTTATTGAGTGAATCAGACTGGATACTGAGTGCACATGAGTACTGAGTGTATAAGACTGATTACTGAGTGTATCAAACTGGAAATGGCGTAGGCTGGACTGGAGTGGCCATGAGACCAAACTGACTAATGAGATTGCCAACCTGGCTACTGATTGGGTATTGAGTACAACAGATTGACTAATTAGAAGTGTCAAGCATGTTAGAATGAGTGTTTTTAAGTAGCTCGTTAGTGCATCAGACTGGCCAAGTTTTACCAATTCTTTGGGTTTTGAACTGTTGACCTATAGCCTTGTATGGTAAACAGTAATTTCTCTGAAATTCCCCAAGCATATTTATAAAATATAGTAAGAAGACAATTTGGCTATGTACATTTCAGGAGTTATTCCAGGCACGTAATCACAAAGACAACCTCAGTTGTATAGCTATATCTCT